GCATTCTCATTAGGATATAAAATAGCAGGAGAAACAGAAAAAGTAGACAGCAAGGTGGGAATTGTATATTATTATTATTAGCAGGGCCACAGAGGGGGGGCAATTGCACCGGGCCCCGAGGTGCTGGGGGCCCCTGAAAAGTTTTTGTTGGGCCCCAGTCTTTTTTGTGTGTTAAATATTTCCATGCAAAGGACAAGATATCTGAGAAAAAAAATGAGATTTTTACTTTTTTTTACAAGTAAATCCTTCCAGGGACTGGTTTTTCAAAGCCAAATTGGCACTAACCCTGGATTAAAAGTTAAGCCCCATTTTAGTTTGTATATCTCTGCACGTTTGTTTATTACAAAACTCCACGAGAATACTTCCACTCATCCACGCAAGATTTCTGAAGAAATATTCCCAAGTTCATAAACAAGCTTTTGGAAAGTTTGCTATCAGCTTTTGGACAACAGGCCCAGAAGTTAGGAGATACACACGAGAAATACCCACCTTCTGTCAATCTTGCTCTGCCTCCAGTAGGTTGACACAAAACAGTCGAGCAACTGACACACAGGACAACTGTCTGGGCATGACTAAATACTGTGGTTATCTTATAGCAACCTAAAACATTTGAAAATATTAAACATCAATTTTTGTCTTGAATGGTCTGTGCCAATGTAGATAGTGGCAAAAATAAGAAAGCTTTGGATTGATAGGGATGCAAATACCCAAATGTGTTTCTAGAAGAGTTAAATTCAAAGACTTTTCTCAAGTCCATGTATCTAGACATTCAAGGACTAATGGGCTGAAAAGGTGTTAGAAATCAGTAAGTGAATTTAAACTATACAAATGGCAATTTTAATGAATTTCAAACAGCTTTGACCTTTGTAAAGGCGGTTTTCCAGTCCTCGCATGAAGCTCCTCGCAGCTCGCTGCGAGTGCTTGCATCTATATTAAAATGAACTGTTTAGCATTGTGATTGGATGAAAGTGCTCATGCATCACTCGCAGCGAGCTGGTTCGTGCGAGGACTGGAAATCCGCCTTTAGACATGAACAAAATCAATTTACAAAATGTCCAATTCTTAATGCCAAACAATTTCAGAAAATATCCACTAAAGCAAGAACAATTTAAGGACTTTCAAGCACTTCTTTATAAACTCAAGGACTTTCAAGGCCTTGAATTTTTGTTTTCAAATTCAAGGACTTTCAAGTTTTGTACAAACCCTGTCTCCTTGTATTATTCAGGTAGTTGCATCAATCTGAAGCTTTCTTATCAATTTTTTCTCCCTGCCCACTAAAGTTTCTCGGATAGAACCATACTTATTTAATAAAGGGGTGCAGCCCTCAAAAACTAGGTCGGCATTCGGCAATGCCAATCTATCAAGCTCCCAGGTCAGCAAATTTTTGCCGACCTTAATTCAGTCAAAGTAAGAATTTTTTTGGTGCTGATAGCTGTTAAAAAGTCAGCAATTATAGAATTCGTAGTTCGATTAACTAAACACACTTGGAAGGTTTAAAAATTGACAGGTATTCTATATATAATTTAGGTAAGACTCCAAAAGAAAAGCTGCCGTGTTACTTTTAATAACAATGATTCGTAAATACGTGAGAAAATTATAGTTAGTGCTCCAAGACATGGAAGAAGATTTAAAAAAATGCTGAGACGTGCCGACCTAGATCAGATTTATGTCGGCATTTTTTTGCCGACCTCAATTTTGACGGTTTTCGAGGGCTGAAAGGTGGATATATTCACTGGGGTTGATGCCTTATAATTAGGAAATCAAATCAAAAGTATGTAAAATAATGAAATTTTGGTAAGTTTACAGATAAACTGCAAAAACAAGTCAAATACTGCATTGGACTGCACTGCTCCACTCTATAAAACCTGAAGATACTTTCAACATGGCAATGGTTTCTTATTCAGGATTTGTACGGAGGCCAGTGGTGATACCGCCCAGGCTAGCTTAGTTTTCATATAAATAGCCCTTTACCAAAAAGAAAATTTTGATTAGGTACCTGGGCACTTCACATCCATGAAGTACGAGTTAGGCGATTGTACAAGCCTTTTTAATTTGTGTTTTCTTTTTTCTTCCTCCGCAGTTGGGTGAAGCAAATCTTTGTATAACTATAAAATTATTATGAACATTCCAAATTATTAACAGACATTTTATGTCTGTTGAAACCGACATGTACTGAATAACCGATAATTTCCCAATGGTTCTAATATCCTGAAAAGCTTTGGTTTATATAATTAGTTCTTCATCAAGGATTGGCTAGCTGATGTCACTCTTAGGTATGTTTATGCACAATGATTAATCGGGCCAATTCAGCTTTACACAACATTTGAATACGCTGTCAACATCATCTGAGAGCATCGTCAACTGACAACATTTGTCATTCACATTCGGCAAAACCTGAAATCGGCCCGGTTAATTGTTGTGTGTACATGCATCTTTATACAACTTAAAGAAATGTTCAATGTTGTAAACTGGAAACACTGACAATATTGCATTGTAGCCTTTTAGTATAAAAAAACTAAAAATATAATGAGGAACAATATACAAAGCAAAATTTTATTGAGCTTGCAAAACAAATTAAACATGTGAAAGCAAGTGAAGGGCAGAAGAGCATACAGTAACTGTTACAAATTGCTTTGCATTTTCCCTTTTCATATGAATTTTACTTTAGAAAATCTACAAAATGCTTCACAAATTGCAGAGTGCAAGTAGCCAATGGGTCATTCCAAAAAAGATCCACACTCCCCCCCCCCCCTCCCAAAGGAGGGAATTTCTGCAGTCGGGAAGTGGGGGGGGGGGGCAAATTGTTTCTGATAATAGTAAGTATATTAGGACATCCGAAAAGGATAGGGGGGGGGTTAACTTCCAATTTCCTCTGTGGGGGAGGAATGTTTTCGTGGAATGACCCAATTTATCCTCTGGACTGCAATGAAACTGATCGGACAGATATAGAATGCACTCATTTTCTTCACCCTTTCCAAGGTTTAAACTTTAAAGTTGCAAAATAGTAGATGATGAGCACATAAAGCAATCCCCTACTACATATTTGTAAGGCTAATTTCAGGTTTTGTTGAGCATTGTAAAATTTGGATCATGATATCGAGAGATAGCATTGATATTGAATTAAACCTGGAATTGGTCTGACAAATCTTAGCAGGTATTAAATCGAGCTATTTTTGCTATAGATTTGATCATTTTGTGCAAAATTGACCGTCAGCAAAATGGCACCCGATTAGCAAAACTGAAACTAATTAATTTTATACGCTGAAGAACTATAATAAAAAAAAACACTAAACATTATATAATATACGAAAAATCTGTAAAACGTAGATAACTGTTATTCTATGTATATCCAGTTCGTCACAAATTTCACCATGTGACCAAGAATCTGTGTTCAAACGTGTTCGGGCAAAAATTGAATAAAAACAAATACACAACCGAAATTCGTCTAAATTTCACACATTATACTAAACGACAACACAACACGTTCATCTATATCAAAGTTACACTAACAAATCGTCAAACAACAGAATAAAACGTAATTTTCTGAGGCGACTCACAGGCATCTTTGCGACCTTCTCGTCGACTTCAGCAAAAGAAAGAACACTCCGCGCACGCGTAATGAAATGCGATGCGGGGCGCACGCGTTCCTTTTTAAGGGGAGATTGTTGCACCATCGATTCGCAATTTTGTTTTACCGGTAAAAAATGTCAAATACCGTCGTTTGCATCTAACGATGAACAGTTGCATACAATCATGTAACTACTTTCACGCTGATTGGTTAGCTTAATTACAGGCATACGAAGCACTCAAACTTCTCTTGACAAACATGAAAGTTTCAGTGTGATGATATACAATGTGGTTTATTTATGACCATAAATACACAGGTCTGCCAACAAGTTGTTACAAATCTGTTCACAAGCTGTCAACAAGTTGTGTTCGCACTGCTTGTTCCCAATTGTTGTAACAATTTTGGAACAAGCTGTTAACAACTTGTAACGAGCTTGATGGCATTATCAGACTTGCTACAAGGTTTGTTCTAATTGGTTGTTGCTACAAGGTTGTTATCAGACTTGCTACAAGTCCGATACAGTCATGATTAACAAGAATGTTACAAAATTGATGACACAAGGTTGTAAAAATATTGATATATCATGACTGTATCGGACTTGTTGGAACAAACTTGCAGTAAGTCTGATAATATCAACAATAAGCTTGTTCCAAACTTGTTGACAACTTGGGGCAGGCAATGCGAACACAACTTGTTGGCAGACTTGTTACAAGATGTGAGATTTTTACGCGTGTACACACGAAAAAATCTAACATCTTCTAGCAAGTCTGCCAACAAACCGTCAACAAGTTCTGTTCGCACTGCTTGTCCAAAGTTGTTAACAAGTTTGGAACAGGTTTGTGACAACCTTGTTGATATTATCAGGCTTGTTACAAGGTTGTTCCAACAAGTCCGATACAGTCATGATATAACAGTTATTTAAACAGTATTGATACAACCTTGTGTCGTCAGCCTTGTAACATTCTTGTTTATCATGACTGAAGACTTGTTAGAACAACCTTGTAACAAGTCTGATAATGCCATCAAGCTTGTTCCAAGTTGTTAACAGTTTGTTCCAAACTTGTTTCAACAACTGGGAACAAACAGTGCGAAGACAACTTGTCGACAGCTTGTGAACAGATTTGTAACAACTTGTTTGCAGACTTGTAACAAGTCTGCAACAAGTCTGTTCACAAGCTGTCGACAAGTTGTGTTCGCACTGCTTGTTCCCAGTTGTTTTAACAAGTTTGGAACAAGCTGTTAACAATTTGTAACAAGTTTGATGGCATTACCAGACTGGAAGCAAAGTTGTTCTAACAAGTCTGATACAGTCATGATATAACAAGAATGTTACAAGGTTGACGACACAAGGTTGTAACAATATTGTTATATCATGACTGTGTCGTACTTGTTGGAACAATCCTGTAACAAGTCTGATAATATCATCAAGCTTGTTACAAGTTGTTAACAGCTTGTGGTTGACAACTTGGGACAAGCAGTGCGAACACAACTTGTTCACAGCTTGTTGGCAGACTTGTCAGAAGATGCGAGATTTTTGCATGTGTATATGGAGTTCACCAAAGTTCACCCATTCGCTCAACGATTCATGATTAGCGCATGCGTCGAAACCGTGGAAAGTCACCGTAATAATCGTGGCGAAATTTGGGGATTCCTTCAAAACTTGAAGGGGGTCAAAGGTCAATTTTTTTGGGATGTCGCTTAGCAGAACACTTCCGGTAATGACGTAATTTCAAATAATTATCTTGTTACTAGCCAATCAGAGCGCTTTAAATTTATATTTTTCGAACTTTGGCTTGACGACAAAAAACAATAAAACATAACTGAGCTGTATTATAAAGGAGCGATAGGGAACATTATTTTGAATTTTGTCGTTATGTTTTGGTTTGTTTTGTATAAAATTAGCCATGAATGGTATTTATAGCAAGAGGAAGATAAGAAATAAACGTCGGTTGTCTGTTTTTTGTTGAAAATGAAGCCGAACGAAGGTATTATAAAACATTTTTATGCCTTGCGAGTTTAATAGAGCTCTGAGTCTCTGACCAAACAAAGTGGAAAAATCGGCGTTGTTTTGTAACGTTTTGGTCAACGCGTTGTTTTTTTATACTGTAAATAAAGTCTTGAGTATTTTTGTGTATTAATACTTGAAATTCAGCCACAAATAGAGGCAAAAACATTTTTTGTAGAGCCCGTTATGTCACAGATACAGATAAGCTGATGAAATATTGTAAACAGCGCTGTAACGCTGTTATATTGTTATTTAATATGGAAAATCATGTTTTCAATTGTAAACAGTCTTGCTTTTAGTGAATTGGCATATTTGCCAAACCAGGCACGAAAGGTTTTTATGATTTCATAAAATGCCTGAATTTCTGAAAGGTTTTTACACAAAACATCCTTCAATAATTAAATTTCTGTGTGTCATGTTTACAATTATATAATGTGTGCTATTATGCAAATTATTGAAAGTTATTAATATTGAAGAGCGAGCCCCTTGTGTGGTAAAACCATTAAGATACATCAGCAATGATACTAATCATTAATAAATAATATTGTTCTTTCCATCCGATCTTGAGTGAACAGTCTTTATAGATAAAATATTGTCTATCTCGACACAGAATACTAGGAACCTTGTAGAAGGCCGGCTTCTTGGTTTTGCCTATGATTTTGGCATAACCGTTGCAATGCTGATGCCATGTTCCTAGCCAGTGTGCTTACAAGAGGCATTGACCCCCCTGAAAGTATTCAAAATGGCAGACGCTACAAGGGTGAAAGCCTTTCATAACCGTAATGGCTAGGAACATGGAAACAGCATTTTGATGACGATACATCCTAGGCAGTGCGGTTATGAGAGGCATTCACCCCCTCACCCTGAAAATATTCAAAATGGCAGACGTTCAGGGGGATGAATGCAGCCTCTCATAACCATAATGGCTAGGAACATGGCGACAGCATTTTGATGTTTCTTGTAAGCGTTAAAAGATAATGACCGAGTCAACCTTCTGTTTGTCTCTATTCTGTGACCTCGATCCTCATATACTTCACATTCTCCCCCACACACACACCATCCATCTAGTCCCAGTCACCCCCTCCTAAAGACACGTGCAACTATCATTGTTTAGGTTATGAGATTGGTCAAGAAGATTTAATTGCCCAACTAGGATTGCTTATTCTCGAAGGTCGAAAACCTAAGGATGTTAGAAGCAGTTTAAAAGACTGCATAAATTATGATTATGATGGCTTACTTCATCATAGAAAGGTTTGCTCACAAAAGTTTCTACATATAATTAAATCTTATAGTGTTCAACAGTGGCAAAGCTAGCCATAGCATTACTGGTCATGCTCAATTTTTTATTTTTTTGTTTTTACGACAAAACGCAAAATTGTTTAAATTAAGGTAACCTAAAACGACTACTGCAGTTTTAAAATAAAAGGGTCAAGAATGCATTTGAAAACTTATACCTCTTTAGTTCTTACCGACTTTATAGAGAAAGAATAGAATTTGTATCTAGTGTCATGTAATTGAGTTTAATTAGTGTCACGTTTTGATAATAACAGTTTTCCGGTTTTTGTAAAAGCTAAACGGAAACAACCGGTTTGAAAATAAAACCGAAAAAAAATGATAAACCGACCAATCAAAATAATCCATCCGATTAACCATGCAGTCAAATGTGAGAGATAGCGGTAGTGGAGTCAAATCTGAGCCACTCCATTATTGCATGTGAAAAACTACGTAAAAAGATTGAAAAACTATTCAATAGTTTGAGCCTGGCTTGTTTGATGGGTTAATAATAAAAATGCATGGGCAGATAGTGTGGCTAATCCATCTTCTTGACAAGGAAAATCGTCATGTATATGTTACACTGAGCAATTAGCCTTTTAAGTGGCAATGTGCCCGGATGCACCCTGCTTTATTTTTGTAACAAACTAGACAGCTCACTGAGTTAAGAAATTCTTATTTTTTTTAACAAAAGGAGGATTTCTTATCCTTCTGGAAATCATGTTACTCAATGTACATTGAAGTATGGCTGTACCGTCAGGAAAAGTTTAATGACAAAGAAGCAATGAACGGACTCAGTGGTTATTTGTTGATTGAACAATGGGAAATAAAACTAAACAGGTAAACGTTGCCAAAAATAACTAGTAATAATATTGGGAACAGGAAATTTGGTGTGTTTCTCTTTCAAAACGCAAGTTGTCAAATTAAAATCACAAAGCTTCAGGAATATCTCATCAAATAAATATCTCATCAATTTAACAAATTTCCTCCGTGGGGGAGGTATGGATGTTTTCTGGAATGACCCATTATGACATTGAATTTCTATGTTGCAAGTTATACCAGTCTCCAAGTGTTAATTTTATTGCATGAATTGCACACAGGTCCTTTGTGCTCTTTAGGTAAGCACTATTTTAATTAAACTCCCACAAGGAATACATTGTTTAGCCAATTATGATTTTCCTATTTTTCTTTAATAATCTTGCTTCCTTTGTTTGCTTTCTTGCTTCTGGATTAATATAGAAGTTCAGACAATGGTTTTCACTGTACAGAAAAGATGTTGATTCAAGCTATTAAATCTAAGTTGTATTTCTCACAACTCAGTGCTTGGCTCAGCCTTACCAAAGGAAAATTTCCAAGACATACATATTTCAGGTTGGTGAAGAACTGTCTGGCACCATTTGAATGGTGTTTTTTTTTACATAATGAAAAGTAAATGTAATTTACTGTCACTTTGTTTGTCGTTTTGATTAAATGTCAGTGCTCCCATTGATAACAGATTAGCTTTTTTTTGCCAAATACTTTACTACCATAATTGTGAATTTTCTTTTCATTTTCATTTTCAAGGCTTTGCCAAACGGAAAACAAAACGCCATTAAAAAGGTTCATCCGAGCTCCTGACTTCCACCAATTTCCTCAAGTGAGCCTCACTCCAACTAAAGAATTAGTTGTTTCCCTTCATTCCCTGCCTCATTCCGATCTACCCTTGGATTATCCCATGTTTTTATGGGTATTAACTGATCTAGCCTCTGGCGAGACACCACAACGCAAAATTGCTGAAAAGCTACCATCAGATTTTGAAGAAGATTTAGCGTTGAAAGATGAATGTTCTTCTTACGATATAAGCCAAGGCAAAGACTACTCCGCGAGTCCTTCACACGTTGTGCGAAAATTGGAGTTTGAAAGTGTTAGTATGGCTGGGCAGAAAGCATTGGACAAACAACAGTGTGTGGAAAAAGATGTTGACAAAACGTCTTCATTTGAAACTTTTGAAAATGTCAATAGGACAAGTTTAGAGCAATCTATATGTTCTACAGAACGGGAATTGTTAGAGTTTTCTGCAAAGAATCAGGCCAGTGAATATGTCGCCAAAGAAAAGCAGAATTTGATTTCCAACAAGAAGGGAAGAAATGTTTCGTGTGAAATGTCCAAACAGGAGAACAAGAACCTTTCGCTAACTAAGACACATTTTAACTTGTCTAGGAACCCAAAAACATCAACCTCACCACAGCCACAGGACCATAAATTGTTTTGTAAGGAAATGCAGTGCTCTGCAGAGGCGTCCATTTCGACAGGATCTTTTGACAAGAATCCAGAACTATTAACGTCTTCCGCAAAGTCATTAGTCCCAAAAAGTGATGTGAAAAACCATTTACCAGGTTCTTTTTCTGAAGAAAAAGAATTCAATTCTTCTGCCACAGAAGTGCACAGGACTTCTCCCGTATCAAAAGAACAGATATGCGACCAAGGAATATACGAAATAATGCAAAACTTACGAAAAGACGAGGGCGCGTCTCCCCTTTGCCGAAAAACAGACAGTAATACACTTGCATCCGGAACAACAGCACTTGGATGTCAAAAGAAATTTATGTCAATGGAAAAACGATGTTTTGAAAATAGCCGTGATTCCGAGATTTTCACAACTGGCTTAAACTCAAAATGTCGCACTCACGAAATTTCTAGGAAATCGTTATTAACACGCAATATCAGTGCTGGAAGCAGCGAGCATACTACTTTGAATGCGGATGTCTTAAAATGTTCGCACAAAGAAAAAAAATCATCCAGCAAGGTTGATGTTGATTTAAAAAACTGTAAACAGGGATATAGTAACGATAGAACACTCGACGATTTCGAGCGAGATTCACTACATAGGCAAAGGTCAAATTCAGAAAGTTCAAACGACAAAGCGTATTGTAATTTGCAAGGTGAACAATTTATTTCTGCTAAAGATAGAAAGCTCAAAAATATCAATCAAGTTTCAGTGGATAGACAAAGGTCAAATTCAGAAAGTTTAGAGGCCAGATGTTTAGACCATACAATGAAGAAATCTTGGGGTATTGATAAATACGGGAATATTTTACATCGGACAAAAAACGAGATAGGAGATATTCTTCCTCCTGAAGTAAGACACGTCATAGATCAAGAATACAAGAAGACGTTCAATGAAAGCTTACGCAAATGCTGTTTATCGAGCGAAGGATGTTGTGAGACGGAACAGGGAGTGTGCAAGAGAAAAGTTGGGAAAACTGAAAAGACGGAGAAGGGGGAGGTGAGAAATTGCGGGAACTACTGAGTATTTTATTTAAATACAATACAATACAATAGTAAGTCGGGAAATGATAAACATTTTTCAAAATGTTACCGTTTTTGGGAGGTGAGTAATAGAATCTCCACTATGAGTAAATGGAAAAGAATAGGATTTTCAAAACAATGAAAAGCCAATAGCATCACTGAATCGTAGTTGGAACTGTGCCATAGTGCTATACGCAAAGGGTCCAATGGCAATGACGAAGTCACTGTCGAGGCATGTGATGTTTGCAAACATTTCTAGGAAACATTATTGGAAACATTCCATGTTTACAAAACAGTACATGTTTTTCCGGGAATCAAAAATGCCTGCCAACATATTCTGAAACATTTATGCCCAGTTTTGCAAACCTTGTTTTCTCATTTTTAACCTTTGGCCAAGTCAGAATGTGTATTAATATCATAGACTCGAAGTGCAGGCTAATAAATGTTTATAATTTACTAATTCTGACACTTTACTCTTTCAGGATAATGTATTTAGAGAGCAGAAGTTCACGGCCATACCTTCACGTAATTCACGATATCACTTCAGACATGCATCGACTGGCACTCTCGCTGTCTTTCATCCGAGGACAGGGCTACCTGTGTCATCTAGTCCGGTAATTCACTCGACTCTTGATTTGTGTGTTGCCTTGGTTTGTGTTTGAAGGACCTAAAAAAAAAAGGAACTAAAATTTGCAAAGCCTGCAAGGCTGCACTATGATCAAAATCACGTAAACAATATTGCAGGTCAGTGTTGCTAGGTGTGGTTATCCTAACAACATCTAACCTGACTACAGGCTGGAAACATCGAATTATTTCAATTTATTTCAATTTCAGTTTATTAAATTTTAACCAAACAAAAAATACAATACAAAAAAACAATCAACTATTTAAGAGAGAGGAAAGAGTATTAAATACGAGATGACTTGTGTTGGGAAGTTTGGTAAGGAAACCCAACAAGAAGCTATAGAAGCTTATAAAGTGTTGGGCACCTTAAAATTATGGGAAACATTTATCAATCAAATGTTTAACATGCAGTGATACAAAATAGTCAATTACAGTTTACAACATTGCAATATTAAATCCAGTTCGCTAGAGGAAAGTATTTATAATGAACAGATTGAAAAGGTGCTAGCTTCGGATATCTATACTTAACTGAAGAATTTTGGGTCTTGATAAAACATGAAAAATCGTCTGATATTAGTCATACAAAACGGGATATAGCCGAGCAATCCGGAACTTCGGATTACCTAAAAAGGTTAAAATAAGATCAGAGAGTAGGGCCTTTGAAATAGATTTGTGTGCATTGAATTGTAAATAAACACAGAATTCCGAAAATCGTGTTTTTATATTTTAGGCTCCGTTTAGAAAGACATCACAAAAACAGACTGTTGATGATATATGCAGGTGACTGCTAAAATAGAACGTATCTTTAAACATCGTTCAAAGGAAGGACATTGGCAATAAAAAATTAGTTTGTCTCATTCAAAAGAACTCTTAAAATTATATATTACACTCTATTATCGAAATATTTAGACCGAAATTAATGAGCTGCCCTCCATCTTGGACTAATTCTTGACCTCATTAACTATGGTTTTGATGACGTCAGGAGTTGGGTTAACCATTTAAAACTTCTCTAAAATGACCGAGTAACAATCCAAAATTGTTTGAAATGTTTTTAATCATTTCTAAATTTCAGACAGCAACCAGAAACGAAGTTTTGGACCCATATTGATCGCTTACTCTCAAGATAAGAAATTAACATGACCCATTTCTTGACGTAGCATGCATATCCTCAATAATCCAAGATGGCTTTTTCCGAAGTCGAAATATTTTGAAAACTAGACAAGATATAAACAATCTGCAAAAGAGTTTGATATATAGTTTAAGAGTTCTTTCAAATGAACTAAACTAATTTTTTATTGCCAATGTCCTTCAATTAGTGCAACACTGTCGATAAAATCTGGTTTATGTTAAAGTATATATAGCTGAACCATCTATTTATTTTTTCTACAGTCCATCCCGCGAACCGTCCAGTCTCTCTTGTGGCAATCTTAGTAAAAGTGCACCGACGTTAACCACGCAAAGCTTGCTAGTTAATTTTGAGGTAATTTCATTTTGTGGTTGAACAATGACAACAGGAGCAACACAACAACAGTAACAGTAACAGTAATAACAACAACAACAGTAACAACAACAACAGTAACAACAACAGTAACAACAACAACAACAACAACAACAACAGTAACAACAACAACAGTAACAACAACAACAACAATAACAATAACAACAGTAACAACAACAACAACAGTAACAACAACAACAACATTGCAACAACAACAACAACAACAACATTGCAAAAGCCACAATGAAAGTAACTATACAACAAACAAAGAATATAGACATACTGTACTACAGGTGCATCTGCAGAGCTCAAAATAACGGCCGGTCAACGGACAATGACCGGCCAAAAATGCCTCTTGACTGGTCACAAGTTTCTAATAGTTTGTTTCACTGTTACTGTAAGCGTATCAATGACCGAACAGATTTTGACCGAGCTAAAGTCAAGTTGACCGGTACTTTTGACTGGAGACCTATCTCCCGTTATTTGAAACTAGTCTCCGCACATGTAGTCAAAAAATTAAGAAGTTAAGACAAAAAAAGTTAAGACAAAAAAAGTTAAGACAAAAAAAATACAAATATTTTATTTTTACATGTAATGATTTGCTGCCAATAAAAGTTTCACTTTTTGAATCAAATTTGTACAAAATGTCAAAGGGATGCAGTTTCAAAGGCCTTATAGCTTTCTGAGATGCACCTGTATATTCGAACCTGCGAGGCTCTGCCGTGCAGAGGGCCTATATAGTTGCATTTTTCGCAACAGCTCCTGGTTAAGTCTAAGAAATGTATAAAATTCACACTGGAAATTTCCACCGACAAAACCCATCCACAATAGACCTTTCCCCTTATAACTAAAATTTTGATCTACACAAACATTTCATCACAGCATGAAAGAGCATCACAAAATTAGTAATATTCCGAAGTTTCGTTGCGAAATGTTGTAAAATGCGGATAATATAGCCCTGCGAAATTTGCAATTTTCAGTCATTTTAGATTACAAACGGGAAATGGTTACCACTTTTCCAAATGGTTACCACTTTCCCGTTTGTAATCTAAAATGACTGAAAATTGCAAACTTTGCAAGGCTATATTATCCGCATTTTACAACATTTTCAACGAAACTTTGGAATATTACTAATTTTTTTATGCTCTTTCAAGCTGTGATGAAATTTTTGTCTAGACTTGTTGAGTTCAAATTTTGGTTAATTGGGGAATGGTCCATTAATTATATCAAGTGTAGATTTCCAGAAACCTGATATGGAACTTTAGTTGTAGTTTTTCATTTTTCAATTTGTGAACGTTTTAGGAGTCTGTTTTAAACGATCGGTTGCTTCCAGATGGCGTTGTCGAGGTACGGTAAAAGACGATTTTTTGCACCAAGCAAGGTTACGTTCTCTGTTTTAAATATAACATCTAATATTTTTCAGGGCTTTACGGCTGAACTTAGTGCGAGTGGTTCAAAGAAATGTCTCGCCCATGTCACGCTTCCTGTTCAAGCGTATTTCTTTAAATTGTCAGACGACAATGCACCATCTCCTTATATGGTATGTGTGGTTTTAAATGAGATTACGAGAAACCGAACATTCTGCTCTTTTTATTATTATCATGCGAGCAAATAAAGTAATATGATTGGCTAATTTACTGCATGAATTATTAATGAGTTTGAGATTTTTATCACACTTGGGTAAAAACCTACCTAAAATTATCATGTTTTGTGATTGGCTTTCAGAAACAAAAACGATCATTGTTCGTGACTCTTTCTGTAGAAAGATGATTTCTATTGTTTTATTGTCTTTCATTGTTATAATCTACCAACCACGAGCCTGGATGTACTGATTTAAAAAACGAACAGGAGTGTTTTATTAGGTTTAAAGCCACGAGCGCGCAGCGCGAGTAGTGGCTTTAGACCAGCGCCCTGCTTTAGACCTAATAAAACACGACCTGCGAGTTTTTTAAATGGCTTCAAAAACGTTTGCATAATAAGTCAAATCTTTATATAAAAATCTTTATATAAAAATCTTTATATAGTTTGCATAACAATGGTCTTTTGTTAAAGTGTTCTTTAGCTGGTATAAAGATGTATGCACGTGACTAATTTCTTACTCAAGATTGGATAATTGCTTCATGAATTATTAATGAGTTTTTGAAAGTATAGGTAGATGATGACCCTCACATTTAGACATTCGACATACATTCTATATTTTCATCACCTGAGATTCGTACGAATTAAAGAAAGTACATTTATATAGGAGGCATTTGTTGGGGATCAGGCTGTTAGCCAGGCGACCGTCCTATGGACGGCCACTTCTGAATTCGGACGGCTAAATTTTAATGGACGGCCATGGACGGCCTAAGGGAATATTTTCTTTAAATAGCAATTTACAAGCTTTGTAATATTTCTTGAATACTTCGAATTGTTGTCATCTGCTGTTTACTTTCCTTATGGTGTATGTTTTCATACTTTTTCCCCTCGAAAACACATTGAATATGCCAGAACTGAAGTACCGACAAACGCGCCATGTTTTTGTAACCATGTTGATGATTCTCGCATGAAGTATCAAGGAGAATAATTTGAAACCGCCGTTTTAAAAAACAGCAATCGCTTTATCACTCGAGCGCCACGTGCTTTAGAGTTACAGTTACGGTAAAGATGGCTATAAAATGAGCCAAACGCATAAAAAAAGGGAAAAAATATCGGCGATTGATAAAAAAATAACTAAACACTACACTGCTGTATTGTGTTCTTCATTATAGCATATACTGTACATCGTAGTGATCATACGGTTCATACCATACGTGTGCTTTTACTAATTTAATAACTGAAATGCGCATCTAAAAACTAAAAGTAAAAAGGTTCAACGAATAGAACACCACAATTCCACAACAACAAAAAATTGCGGCCACGCCCAAAAACATGTGACCACGCCCACAAAATTATTTTGGACGGCCACTTTTGAAATCCTGGCTAACACCCTGTTGGGGATGGACATGCATGTCCACCTCCAGCTAGTTAATTAACCTTCCTTGTGAATATATGATAGTAGCTTCCATTGTAATGCTGTTTTTTTTTCTTCTAGGGTTACATATCCTTAGATGTTCCTGGATTACCAAAGAAGGGCTATCATGTTCCAAGGAAAGGAACCATTCAGTTGGTACGACAGACATGAACATTTTGTTGACGTTTTCTATGAAATGTCGCGTCCTTTGGACACATGCAATTTTGCTAGACTAAAAATCATTCGTATACATGTTTTTTCCCAATCTGTATAGTTGATGTTTTCAGATTCTGTTATTTTTCTGTCTCGTTTTAGACTCTTTTCAATCCGAACCAGACTGTGGTTAAAGTGTTTGTGGTCTTGTACGATTTCTCGGACATGCAGCCGAATTTTCAAACATTTCTACGGCAAAAGACAACATCGCTGGTCAAGTCAGATGGTCTTGTCGATAGGGTATGCCTTGGAGAAACTTTCTGTTAACGTTTCTATCGCCGTATATATAAAATTGTTTTGCTTACTTTAGTCTTTTTTTCAGATTCATGATAATCTACATTACCTTATCCATTTGAGGTATGCCAAAATAACAAAACTGAATTCAGTTTTAGTTTAGAATTCAAAAGAAATTACAGTCATGACAATGGAAGTGTTCCTAAAATATTCTACTATGCACTTCACTTACTCACACCATAGATATCTTATATACACTAGGTAGTGCATCTAATTATTCTGCAATTCAAAAATTGAAGCCGTGATTGCAGACTCAGGATCGATATTCCCATGAAATGAGAAGACTCGTATGTTTTCTATTTCTTAAGGAACTTAAACATTAAGTTAAACCTATTCCAAATACATTTTCAAACTATTCAAATGATGAAAGTTGTTGTTTTTTAAGCATTTATTACCTTTGGTTTTCGTGCAATTAACCGATCATAAAGCAACCAGAAATTTATATCAGTAGAGGAAATTGCAAGTTATTAGTCAAACGTTTCAAATCAATTGGATGAATTGGTATAGAATATTTCAGGAACACTTCCGGAATGTCAAGTCTGTGTGTGTAATGATACTCTGACTGGAGAAATTATATTTTAAAATTTCCCTTCTAGATTCGCTTCTTCCAAATCTGGTCGTATCTACTTGCACACAGACATTCGTGTGATATTTGCTCGGCACCCCCCTGATCAAGGCCATCTACGAACGGCAACGAGCGGTCCGACCAATCCTAAGTATGTGCCAAGACACGACACGCCGGGGGGATTTTTAATTAGTGCCAGAACGTGACGTTTTGAAAGTATTTATATATATCGGCATATATTATAATAATTACGAATATCAGTAATAATCACGAATACATTTTAGCATAGGCTATTACAATGTTGTGTGTATGTAAATTAACTACGGTCTACATATTTTGCCATTTATATCGTGTGAACACATATTATAATTATGTTTTAATTAGAATTTATTTAATTTGTATATTATTTATATTGTCGTGAGCATTTACATTGTGAAAATATATAATCTAGTCGGATAGTTAGCATGGTCATAAAATTATTTATCTAGTAGACATTTCAATTAATATAATCTCCTTGTAATTTGGCATAATATACAATCCTGAAGTTGGATTGTGCATATAAGATTCACTATAATTATTCATTGAAATTATTTATCTAGTAGACATTTCAATTAATTTAATCTCGTTGTAATCTGCATAATATGCAATACCCAAGTTCGATTGTGCCGATTGTGCAAATAAGATTGCATAAGATTCATAGAGGGCACAAAAATTTTCTTTTTCGCTCTTACTTCTGAAAAAAATCACAAATTTTATATGCATATATTCGAAATACCGATATTTGTGTATTTAGCCAATTTTGCGTTAATCATATTTTTGTATTTATTTGTCTTGTTACAAGAAAAGGTAAAAATTCTTAAATAAAAAATTAATATTGAAGATTGTTAACTTTTAATAGTCTTCTTTCTTCACCTTTAACAGCAGGGACCTTTAGCTAGCAGGACGGCAACGGCTATTAACACAATGAAATTTATGACAGTGTAGAAAGAAAATGCAAATTAAAGCTCCCTTGGGAGTTTTAGACGTCGTCCTTGCTCTGTTTACAACAGCAAAACAAAGATTTTCACGTTTTGTATACAAACGTCTGCCTTTCAAGCCGCGAGAAGTCGTCCTCGCCAAATTGGCTTAGTATAGAAGTCTTCTCAACTCTAAACCTCTGTCTTAACCTTCTAAATTGCAATAAATTCATACAACGGATAATACAGGACATGTTGATCTTAAAGTTACTTATTTGAACGAGTTTGTTTTGGCCGTCGTCGTCGCGTTGCCGTCACCTATTTGCTAAAGGTCCCTACTAAAAACGGACAATCTCTTCTAGATTGTTCTTCCCAGAGTCCAGTAATGGCCGTTTCTTATCAGTGGTATATAAGGAGAGGTTCAGATTTCACTACCTCTCATTGGCTCAGTACCCAGCTGATTGGTTAATCGCGGATATATCAAACGCATCTGATTGGTTAATAGTCTATTAATGGTAACGGTAGTGGAAATCAAATCTGAACCACTCTGATAATACTACAGGAGGAAACTCAGCCGAAAAAATTCGTCTCACACGAGGTGAAATTATAATCAGATATACAACTGCATCATTTGCAAGAATCAACCTCCTATTAAAGGTACACTAACCCATGCATGTGCCTAACCCATGCATGTGCCCAACCCATGCATGTGCCCAACCCATGCATGTACGCTAACCTAACATTTCTAAATAAACCATCGCCACTACATTGATATATATGTAACTGTGGTCATTACCCAAGGTTTGAATTGAAAATTTTCAACTAGCCGTACCTGGCTCGCGGTTCTCAAGGTAACCGCGTTACCTGCACTGGAGCCAACTGCGAACCTAGGTCAGAAGTTCTTGTGCACGCTAGTATAGTAGAAAATTTCAATTTTTCCCAGTATCTTTTTGCAATATTTACCAACCAGATTTAATAGGTGTCTCTTTTCTATAACATTCCCTTTTCTATTTTCAAATTTTATTTATCACATCTCCAGTCCTCAAGTCTGAGTTGCATGTTTCCCGGCCCTTTTAGGCTTTCTCGTGCTCAAAACTTTTCCCCCGGTCGCCTGGTCCCCTGTCGCAACTGGCCCGCTGTCGGGTCCTAAACCTGCTCCGGCTGCTCGCTTTGCTTGCTACGAACTCAAGGTGTACTTAGTTTGGGATAATGACATAAAGGACAGTTTTCTAAAAGATATTCAAAAAGGAACACAATTGCATTTTTTGATTTACTGCAACTCTACGATTTACTCGAACATTCCTCAGTAACATCTCATCCCATCTGATCTCGCCGGTTGTCGGATTTCCACAAATTTCTACTTAGCAAAATGCATGTACGCGGATATTAAATAGTGATCGGAGTATCGCGTGTACGCCGTACCTACGTGATACTTGGTTAAAAGTAACGACTGTTGCACCCTGGTTTATCAAATCGTTACATGTTAATTATACTTCGTCTTCGGAACCGCAATCAGTGTCAAACCCACCACCATCAACTAACCTGCTTTGGAACAAAGCCTGTTTAATCTAATACCTGCCAAGTAATAAACTTGCAATATCTGTAATATCCCAAAACAACACAGCGAAAACCCCAAATTGAACTTGTTACAAAACTGTTACATTTTTACCAAATTTTTTTGGGAAACGGTGTAAGACGATGATGTTATACATCTAATTCTACATCTAACTTGACAATATCAAATAATATAGACGTAGCGAAATTAGATGCCCCCAGAGATTTAATATATACACAACTAAAGTACATAATATATACAAATTGAACAGGCATTACACAATAGCGAGGGGCCGCGATTGGCCGGATCAGTTATGCAAATCAACGCATGCTCGCCTGCAATTGTTTAAACCATGTGGTGTGATGGGTCGTATAATTTCCATCAGCCATACGATGGGTCATTGTCGCAATCTTGATATCAGAAATCCTGTTAGACTCTCGTGGGGTCGGCCTGTTTGAGTCGACGTTGGGTTTTTCACGCAATGACATGGCACAACATAACACGAGTGCTTTAATTTAAAGAGCTCGGTGCTTGTATATGGTTGATCGGGTTCCGAAAGGAAGTTGGCCAATAGTGTTTAATACCCCAAACGCTGACAATTTTCTCCCAAAAAGTCGCGAATCTATCGCAAAGCCCCAAGCAAGCTTCCCAAATGATCTCAAACGACGGCGAATTGCCCAATGAAAGCCAAGAAACCCCGAATAATGCTAACGAAAATCAAGAATCGCTCGAGGAAACGCTTCTCTTGACTGTGAGGTAAGACAAAGTTTACATTGAGTTCATTTTACAAATACCAATAACTCTGTGCTATTTATAGCATTTCTCTGTACCTGTGAAATTCGCACTTTTGGCCTACCAACGTTGAACTATTGGTGTATGTACTATCACGTAATGCTCTCCTCTACATTCTACCCCTCATTTATTTAAAAAATTGCATTAAATCAATTAAATACCGAAAATAATAAACTCCCTGTAATTGGATGCCTTATATACGGTTACCATATAATATAATCTATCATAGGCAAATCCGGTGTAAATATGTCAGTGCAATTTAATGCACAGGGCTTGGAAATTTTTGCATGATGTTTTCGCATTAGTATTTACCATTGGATAATTTTTCCTACACTCTACAGGGTACAGGAGTGTAATTTTAATGTGTTATGATAGTACAGTTTAGCACTCCAATTATTTTCATGTTGGACAAGCAAACAACCGTTTCGTTGCATCGTTCCCAGCCTTAATAATCTTCATCCTTTTCCAATATTTTACGCCATGTCTTGAAATAACAGGAAAATCCCAAAGTATACACTCTTATTTCCTCGCTGAATTTTTTTTATAAGAATACGATATTGAATGTAGCGTATTAAACACATTTTAACACAAGATTTCCATCAGAATATCAACCTTAGCAGTATGTAATAATTCATATTTACGCGTCTTAATTTTGCCGTATAAATATCAGCCTATATAAAAGTGTTTACTTACAGCCCATATACGTTTATTACACGCAGTCAATATTAGCTGGTTTTATCGTGAAATAAACTTTGACCCTAATTTCCGATTATTTTCGCTCACTACAAGAAATACTTCACCTTTACCCAGAAATATGTAACTTGATATCTTAGGACGCCGCATTGCTTTCGAAAGTTGAAACTTTCATTGTATAATTTTGCTATCTTTTACAATTTGTTGATTATATTAACAGGTCTGCATCAGAATACACTAGCATATGCTATTTTATCTTTATCATATAAAATCACTGTTTGTTTTGCTATATTGTAAACGTACTATGCCAGCTTGCAGCGAAATAACATTAATCATTTTTTCGATAACATTGGGAAATGCTTTGTATGTGGAAGAAATTTTATAGCGCCGAACGCAATGTTCGTGACATTTAAATCATGTTACGCAAAATATATCAGGACATCAATTCAGTTCTTCCTTTAAAAGTAGCTCGTTTATGACAGTTTTCGGACACTAAATTTTGACAAACTACTTGACAGATGATGAATTTGTAATCTCGAAACTCGCCGAGGTTCAAGACGAAATGTTCACCCAGAGTTTGTTTCGTTCATACTACGACTGTGTATTCGAGTAATACTAATGAGGATAATCGTCTATTCTATAAACATGCGAATGTTTTAAATGATTCTAATTCTAATATGTTGCAATTTTCAATATTATCGTTCATGCGCGTTGTTTAAACACGTTTTTCTGCAAATATGTTGGGGAGCAAATCGCCTAACATGTGGACATCAATTAGTGTTTGATTGTTGGTAAGTATGGCGAAAACAAAGTCTTAGCTACTTTAAATACGGTCAGCAGCAAAAAGTGTTCTTTAGTTCCGTTTCCGTCAAGGCCCTAGAGTTTTGGAGCTCAAAATATAAAAAGCCTTTAATGTGTTGTAAAAAAATACAAAAAAAAACTTTTTCTAACATTCAAATAAACTCATTTAATTTGGCTATTTATGTGTGGTTAAATTGAGAAAAATTAAACACAAATCTTGACAACCAATTAACAAAGAACTTTTTTGTTTTTTTTCTCAACTTTTGCTTGTTTCTCTAATGGAGTAATGCTGAATAAATTGAATCTTTCCGTTGGTTTTTCAGTGGTTTCGAATGCTAAAATGTCAAGTTAATTTTTCTTTGTATTGTCTCGTTATTTTATCGTCATCAAATCTTTATATTCTGTCAATCGATCAACGTAAGATTAACTGAGGTAAAACATTATTTTTAAAAATACGTATAAAGGAAAATAGGTACATTAGATTTCAACGAACTCAAATCAATGTTATAAAACAGCATGTCCTGCTATACACTTTCTAATATTTTCAATCTAATTTCATTACGTTCGGTCAATTTGCAGTTATCACCACAGATGCTATGTCTTTTGTGTAAAAACTCATTTAACATGAAGTGTTTGTCCACATATTGTGCATAAAACGAGCCACTTCTATTGTCCGGCCATGTGCTCGCCTTCTGCCGTATGGTAATTGTACGCGTGGGAAATCGCGACTCAATTTAGTTCGCCTTTTAAATTTGCCCCCCCAAAAGACAAAACATTTTATTTTTACTCAGGCTTTACTAATTAAGTTTTTGCATTATAGTCGTATTAAATTTTGTGTCCAAGTATCAGATTCTAATTATTCGATTAGTTACATCTTTTTACTAACTTGTTGAATATAAATTAACGACTTCATTTTGTGCTTTGACTTTGTACATTTAAAGCATTTTACTCAGCCAGGCATTATCTATTATCCTTTTCTATATGTCCCTTATTTTATGCTCTGTAGCTCTAAGCATATTAAACGCAGTTTGTGATTTGAAAAGAACTGAAAAATTATTGTAATATTGAATTTTTAAAGACAAAAACTTTATAATCATAGTTAAATTAAGTTAATATAGTATAGCTTGTTAATTTATCGGCTTAGATTTATTAGTATATGACTTTCTACACTCTAAGTTTAGAAAGAACTATTCTTTTTACTGTGTTACTGGCGATTTCTACAAATTGCAGAGGAAATTTCATGGAATTTGAACAACGAAACATTTGCGACAACTTCTATTTTCATGAATATATTATATAGCCAAGTCTCGCACTTCATTCATCGCCAATTTCTGCATGAGTTAAGTTCAAGGCGATTTCAACTAGGTTTTTTAATTTCTCAATTAAGATGGCAATAAATGCCAGCAAAAACACTGAAATACATAAAGCTAAAGTCTATGGCAAATTGGCGAAAAATAATAAAAATTAATCCCAGCTGTTTCTGATCACTGACCACGTATTAAAACTCGCAACAATCAGAAACAAACCTGAGAAGCTTCATCACCTTCATGGCTTCCAGTTCGAATTTTATCATGCATGCATGCAAATGCATGCTTATAATTTCCTCCCAAATTTATTGCCAGAAATCCAGACTATATTGCACTATTTCCTCCAGATTGATTAAAATCAGATCAAAATCAAAACCGAGCATCATATCTGAAAATTACTGTCCTGTTAATCTCTGATAAGGTAAATTATATGGAAAACTACAGGAAATAGATATAGCCTCAGAACCCAATTGACATTGTGGACGATATTATATATATACATGCATATACATATGTATACAGCATGCATGTGTGCCGCGGATGTAAACTGTTCTCCATTTACCGTCGTTTTATTTTTGCTGTGGATTTGAGTATTCGAGTATTCTACTTTCTCTGAGGATGGTATATAATAGAATGGAAACACAACACACCCTTGAATCGTTAGCGTTTAACAAAGCCGTGAGAAGAGCTTTATTGAACGAATCCGATCCTCGTTAACCCGGACAGCCAGCCCCTACGGCTGCGTCGATCATGAAAATATTTCGTGCACTTAAAATGGATGAGATGAAACTGTGTCTCCAGTTCACTTGTTGGGCGGGCGGGCGGGAGGGGGGGGACATTAAGTTTGACTTGTCAATGTACATGTCTCTGGCATTCGTTTATTTTTTTAAATGTACATGAATGTCGCGTTGACCTTTTCTTTCGCATGAATAGCACGATTTATACAGTAATGAGAGCTCAGAAAACAAATCGTGTTTTACAAAGCCGAATGAGGCGGATGATTGATAACCCATCTTTATTAAAGTCGGGCCAATATTATCAATTACATTGTTATTGGATTTAATGTCATTCAAATCAAATTATTATTGTTTACAAACTGTAGACTACACCAATACGACTCTAATTAATTCAAATTAGTGCACGATTGACCGCTGCGAAAAGAAATTATAAATATATTGGCCCCGACATGGGTGTTGACCACAGTAGTGTTGTGAAGTAAGCCTTGTGCTGCACATCTGTTTTGTTATGTCTCAACTCTTGTGTGACCAACTTAATTGAGATTGAAGATAACTTGCACCTTTTATGCAATTTGTAAACACTGGAAACACTACGAAAATTTATATTCTACAAGATTCCGAACGGAGATGGGGGGGGGGAAGGGTGTGCAATACCCTCACATCTGGGAAAACTGGTCTGAAGCGAATATTCTGTTATTGTCGACTTCAAGTCACTTTTCAACGCTTGTTACCAAGTTCGTTGCGAACTTGCCAATTACGTTTCCACTGCGAAAATTAAGTGTGAACTTCGCAACGAAGTTTGCAAGTACTTTTCAATGTTTGAACTTCGTTTGTATAAACAAATGTTCATAACTCAGTAATAATAACCAATTCAATAAAATACAAACACTCTTGGAAGACCACTGGACAAAGAACGTTTCATTGAAATGTTAATTTCAACTTGAACTATGGACAGTTGTTACACCAGAAAGTTCAAACATTGAAATGAACTTGCGAGCTTCGTTGCCCAATTTGCAAACTTGGAAATGTATTTTCCATGCACGTTCGCAACGAACTTGGGAAGTGTGCGTTGAAAAGTGATGAGCTGAAACCGACAATAATAAAAATATACCTTGTCTGTAGATTATTTGGACATTGTGATTTGAGCGTTGATCGGTTAACCAGAATATCTCCAGACTGTGTGGTGTCTTGTGTTACACCGCAATGCGCCACAATGCGACCTACTTTGTTAATTCACGTACTGTCTCTCATACCAGACGATTTTGCAAGTCAAGGGTTATAAATTTGCGGCTTGAGCATTAATGGTCAACCACATTGTCTGCCCTATCGTTGGTTAACCCATTTAGTCGCGTAATACGCCCTACAGCCCCTACTATTATCAAGTCTAGGTTTTGAAGGATTTCTAGGAAATGTTTGGGGAACTGACTCAGTGTTAAACACTTACGCCTGTATTCTAAAAGCTCACTCACACTCAATGAGTGGAGGTTCAATCTGAGCTTCTCTTTAGCGTCAATGCTGCTTTTGAATAGCTGGAGGGGTAGTGCCATACGTTACTATGTGACTGCTCACCCTCCAGCTATTCAAAAACAGCAATGACACTCAAGAGAAGCTCAGATTGAACCTCCACTCATTGAGTGTGAGTGAGCTTTTAGAATACGGGCGTTAGTCAGAACTTTCTTACAAATCCTTCAAAACTTAGAAACTGCATTTACCTATGCAAAACTCCTAGGCCTACTGTCATCACAGAATCTTTGATAGTATCAACCAGGCTTAACACCACACCGTTTTATTCGGTTATTTTATAGAGATGAAATAAAGCAGGAAATTGAGAAAATTTTGGTATGTTCCCTGGCAATATATAGTATACGAAACCTTTTGGTTATGCTTCTCACGGCGTAGCTCAGCCAGAAATCTGAAATTCTATGAGTATCAAGCATAAAGGCCGATTTACACAACGTTTGCCTAAATCTATCGCATGCAACCTGCTTACAACTTGAGTTGTACTGTGCAGTAAATCACACTTAATAGAATACATGGTTTGGAGACTCGATGAAATTACAATATATCTCATTAACTATGTTGGTTTCGGTTTATGCAAGAAATTGGGCTTGTAGTGTATTGTATTTTTTCCCGCACAACCAATAGCAATGTTTAAATTGAGCATTTGTTCAAGTTACGGATGGATAACTCAACCACAAACTTGTTATTGGTTATTTGAGCGAAAATACAATACACACGTGACGAGATAGGACCAAATTCTTGCATAAAGCTGGACAATAACATAGTTAATGAGTTATATTGTACTTTCATCGAGTCTCCAAACCATCTATTAAAATAACTGTGAGAAAATAAAACATACAACTTGCCTATGTTGTCGTGGGTCAGTTGTGTGCTTGATGAACACAGTACCACTTAAGTTGTAAGAAGGATTGCATGCGACAGTTTTAGGCAAAAGTGTGCAGTGGGAATCGGCCTTAAGCAACTTATATTTCTTATATTTGGTTTGTATATTTTTATAATTGTAATTTCTAACTGATTTTTAATTATTGGTCTTCGTTTCAGGCTGATGTACAGCTTTGGTCGGACACGGAGAAACTTCTTCTTTATCTGAAGTTACCAGGAAGTAAACATCGAGATAAAAGCAAAGATGAGCAAGAGTAAGTTGTGATCATCTTGTTTCCTTGTTTGTCTTCAAAATTATTCACAGAGGTGGAAAAATATCATTGTTTTAAAGATATTTTGCTTCACACGACAACACATCTTAATAAACGTAATCCATGTAAAGTAACAATTTTATTTTTTCCTAAATATTGTAATCTTTTGCAGAACATTTTGAGCTCTAAACCCTGGTTCCCAAAAAGAAAAAAACATTTTCCTCCTAATTATTCATGAACTGTTTATTGTCTTGTAGTCCTCACGCCATACCATTGTCGACAACCAGAGCTGAACAAACCCAAGCTTTCCATTGGTAAGTTGTCAGGAATGTTGAAGGGGAACAATGGAGGAAGGAAGGAATCAAAGATGGAAAGATGGAAGAATGAAGGAAGAAACGAAGAAATAGTGAATAGCCCAAAATGATTCGATATTCGTGCGAATTGACGAAGATCATCATTGATTCGAAATATTTTGGTGTTAATATTGTCTTATTTATCTAGGATTCGCTGTCACCTGGAAGAATGTGAAAATAATTCAACTTTACCAAAACATGAAGTTTATGATGAGTACAGAGCTCACTGTGAAAGTGTGAACGCAGTGCGCGTGCTCAGTGCACCTGATTTTGGCAAGATCATTAAGTGTGTTTTTCCAAACGTGAAAGCGAGGCGCCTGGGAACAAGGGGAAACTCAAAGTATCCTTTTTGTCATCACACCCACTTCGAATTCCTGAAAATAGACTACGATGTCAAATCCATACAGTAGCTTTTGTCATTTATCAGTTTATTTCTTAACGTACTGATCAGATATTGTTATAGTGGCATTCAGAAAAAGAGAATTGTGAAATCTCCTCAGTTGCCAAACCTTGTAGCACCCATGCCCGGAGACAAGAATATGGTAAGCTAGCGTGTTACATAACAGACCAAGGGCTACCCTGGTGCGGTAATATAACTCGCCTCAACTCACCGCGAGATAATGCGAGTTCAGGCGATTTTAGCAAAAACTGCAGCTTTTAAGCAACGCGAGTTTAGGCGATTTAGGGATATTTTGGTGCTTTCCTGTTGGCCAGTTAATCCGAGTTTGGTCGATTTTAGTCGATTTAAAAGAACATATGTATATAATGTCATAAAATTTATTTAACGAGATCGATTTCAGATCGACCCCGAAGCAGACCGATCTCAGATTGATCTAAAAGTGTACTGTGAAAAGGCCCTGAGAATCGAACTTACTATCTCAGTGGTAAAAACGGTTGCTTTTCAATGAGTATACCATTCATATACAATAATACAAAATCTACCATCCTCTAGAATAATGCTGGCTCCTCATGTTCCAATGGAGATAAAATCGGCGACGACCAGACATTGATAGCAGCTTGTGACCTCGTGTGCGAATGGGCCAACAAACTCCTAGGTCGAGTATTTAATACTCTGGTAGAACTGGGCAGGTTCCTAGTTGGAGGGAGTTATGTGTCGAGCAAGTCTATGGCCGCTTTTATTGTCATGTCGAGCAATGAATCTTCTGGATCATATAGCAAGTAAGATAAACATCACTTTTTATAGTTGGATAGATTGGTATAATATAGGTCGTCACACTGCGTGCGGCGCTTGGAGGAGGGAGGGCGAGGTTTTGAGAAAAGAGTGTGCCCTCTTTCCCTTTATCTTCTGCTCTCCTTCTATGGAAAGTTCGATATTTTCCGACATGCTGGAACAACATGTTTTTCTTTGAATTGTTTTCCTTTGGAATAGTCTTCCCGTTCATATATCATTGAATATACCTCTATTTTCTCTTTCAAACACAATCTGTATTCTCAAAAGGTATTATTTGTATACCTTTCCAAACTTGAATATAGCTTTGACGTGAATAGAATGCGCACTTGGAAGACTTATTGTTCCAAGTGTTGTTCCTACAACCCAACTTGTTGATCTTAAAGATTAATCTCATGCACTTTTCATGTTAATTAATATTTGTTCAAATATATCACTATGTAAATGTCGACGTGTCTTTAAATATATGTTATAATTGTTGTTGTCTTTCTTGGGCAACTCTCAAGCCGGTCAGGCTCTCTACTTCCGCTTCCATCCCAGACACGCTGCTGGAGTGTATTTGGGAAGGAAGCGGAACTAGAGAGACTGGCTTACGAGGTTGTTTCCTGGGTTGCTCTTAATATGGGGGATTCTTGTCCTGTTGACTTTACCTTCAACAGTGCATTTTTTAAGGATTCTTCAGTGGTGGGGCATGACGTCATAAATTAGCGGACATATTCACACTCATTTACATATCAAACAAATTGAAATATCTCGGCAACAAACCATAAAAACAAGAAACTGAAAAATAAGTTACACTACAACTTAAAGAGTTCTTTCATTCATTTAAGAAAATCAGAAATTTGATGTCATATACACTTTAATATTTAATTGTTCATGTATAAAAGGTTGTAAAGTTAATAAATAAATAAATGTTGTGCGAACAGGCCTACCTTACTAACTCAACCATGAACTCTTTTTCTCATCACAATTCTTCATTTCAGATTGACACTCAACGGGCGTAAAATTAACTCAGACGAACAATCACTGATCAGCCAGAAACGTAAACAAACTCAACAACATCTACAGCGAAAGATTCAACAGCGACAACAACATAAGCAACAACAACAACATCAGCTCAATTTGTTACTCCATCCTTCGACACCTACGGGAAAGCAGTTTACGCCCATTTTACCTCAAACCCAGAAGGTAAGTTTAAATGCAGTTAATAATCGATTGTTGGCAATGATTATAGCAACAGATTTCAGGAACGAATCGTGCCTGATGTTAAGTATTATTTAAAACACGAGCAGGAGGCGACAGCCAGGGTGTTTTATATCTAAGAAAGCAGGGACTGCGAGTGTTTTGAATGACCTAAAAAACAACCCATCTTATGAGTTCATTGGCGAAGTAATTTTAAAAATCAACGTTGTATAAGCCGAGAAAATCATAGCTAAAGTTTTTTATCACAAAGTGATTTTCTTTGTCTTTTCCTCGTGAATTATTAACGAGTTTAGAAACCTACTTCCGTCAGACTTTTTTTTTAACAGCTTTATTAGGAACTAAATATATTACATTAATAACGTACAAATACAACAAACATGCAGTTCCTAAACGGGAAAATAGCGAACGGGCCATAATAGCCCATGCGAGGCTACCTCCCGAACTGCACATGGAATTGGAAGCTTGTCTGTGTAGATGAACCGATTTCTTCCAAACAGATCAAAATGTCTGTGCTATAAATGGCGCTGTTTATGAACTGAACATGATAGCTTATCGTGTCGTTTCCATTTAGGGAAACACGGTTACACTCGTCAACGGACTCCGTATTCAAACTAAACCTCAACAACTTCAGTTATCTCCGAAGCTAAACATAGTCACCAATCTTCAAAGTCCTCCAACACCCTGTACCCCGGTCATCTATAATCAAACACCGCAAAAGACCTTGGGTCATCTCCCCCCGTCGACCACCCTCAGCCCTGTCACCCCCTCCCTTACTAGTCCAAGTCTACACTCCCCCTACAATACCAAATCCCCAAAACGCAGTGCCCCCCACACTCCTCGCAGTGAAACCATAACTCCGAGTCCTATCAGCACAACCCCCCGGCATACACCAAACGGGGAAGTCACTCGCTTTGTGTTTACTCCTATAACAAACGGGACTGCAGAGAATAAGATTTCTGTGCAGGGGGGTGATGCAAGTCCGCCCATGTTAAAACGGCCTACAGCTACTCATCCTGGATTGAGCAATGAGTGGAGTAACCATCAGAATAAAGCTACTGCTGTTTTGACCACAACGCCTATCAAAGGTATATATATGTGCACATAGATATAATTAAGTTTCAATATATATACTGTTTGATTATCTGAACATATTGTATCACTGTACGAGTGTGAGATGCCCAATATATTCTGATATTTACCCATACAAATTACTGAACTATCAAGTTGCAAAGAAAACAACAAAGAATGAATGTTGACTTCAAAAAGCAAACTCTTAAAGATTCTGTTCCATTCCCAGATACTCCTGGTTCACCCTGCAAGCACCCGCGCATTGCTCTCAAAGATCCACCAAGCACATCCAACCGACAGACGAATTCATTTTCTCAACCAATGATGTCTCCTCGTGTGAACAAACGCACAGGTATGTGTGATGGAAAGGTCTTTCCTCACGGGATCACCTCTCTCTCCTCCGCAGAGGCTTCAGTTTTGGCTATGATTACGACTACAGGAGGAGCCCAGCGTGTTCTAAGATCCGCCATGTAAAATGTAGTGAAATGTATATCAATACTAATCGTAATCATAGCCAACCATACTAAAGCCTCGGCGGAGGAGAGAGAGATCCGTCATTTGGACGACATCCAGTCGACACTATGTAGAGGCTTAAGGCCGTTTTCCACTAGGCGGAATTTTCCGCGCGGAGCGGAATTTTTCTTTGTCTTTTCTAATCAGTTCCACCCGAGAAATCATAAGACAAAGAAAAATTGCGCTCCACGCGGAAAATTCCGCCTAGTGGAAAACGGCCTTTAAGGCCGTTTTCCACCAGGCGGAATTTTCCGCGCGGAGCGGAATTTTTCTTTGTCTTGTGATTTCTCGGGTGGAACTAATTAGAAAAGACAAAGAGAAATTCCGCTCCGCGCGGAAAATTCCGCCTAGCGGAAAACTGCCTTAATATATCGTAAGGCTGAAGCGAAGAAGCCATATTGTATTGATATTCTAATAGATGTTTTGTGTTAATTTAGCAATAAACTTATCTTCGCCGATGCCAGCCACGAATACCAATCAAGGACGAGTAACCTTATCTCCTCGCGGGCCGAGAACAAATACGTCTAGACAACCTATTGCTAGGCAACAGTCTTTATCTTCGTCATGTTCCGTCACACTCCAATCAAGTCCTCAAACCCAGGCTCTCACACATCAACCGCGGAATTTGACTACGTTTCCGTTCAGGTATATAATTATACATTTCGTTTGCTTTATAAACACCACAGCAGAGAGGGCACACATTTGTGCACATACACTGCGAGAAGATTTAGTTAGCTCTTGTCCATCTTCAATCTCAGATTGTTTTATCCAATCAAAAGAAGTCTATACTTATAACACTGGACATTGTGTGTCCAATAACTTCTATGTTGAATACTCAAAACTAACTACAACTATCACATCCTTTGTAAAATCAGGTGTTAAAATTTGGAATAGTATTCCCACTGATGTTCGAAAGTTGGGTAGAAAAAATTTCAATTTGAAAATTCAGAAAAGTCTTTTAACCATATTTGAGATTGAGGACGATTATGCTGATGTGCCCACATTAATTAGATATACGAGTAACTAGTAAGCATGGAAAATAGTGCTTCCTTCGAAATGAATTGGAAATTAACAGGAAATTAATGCTTCTTTATGAAAATGATGCTTTGTGCTGTCAGTATATTGTGCTACTTTGTATTACAACCGAGCATATCTTATTTAATTTCATTCTACTATCCGCCTCGTTTACCTTTGCTATTAGCGGATAGTATTGTATATACAGATTGTTTATATATTTATTAATAAAAATTTGAATTTGATTTGATTTGTCACAGACTTTAACACCAGCACTTGTGGTGACGTGTCACCATGCTTGCCTTTGAAGTTGAAAGACCCGGGTTCAATCCTTGGTCTGACCTCTACTCAAGGTCTTAAAATAATTGAGGAGAAATTGCTACCTTTACATGGACATTCGCGTCTTCTCGGTTAAGGACGTTAAAATCCTAAGTATCTCGGGTCCCCTATCAATGGATGACTTGCGCTTTAGAAAAAATTTTAATCTGGGGATAACAAAGAATATTTTTGGAAAGAAGTTATCAAAATTAGAAAAACTGCAAAGTTTGGTTGCGAAATATTGTAAAATACGGAAAATATAGCCCTGCGAAGTTGGCAAATTTGTATACATTTCTATTACGTGCGGAAATTGGTAACTAATTTAGTTACCAATTCACGCACGTATACAAATTTGCCAACTTTGAAGGGCTATATTTTCCGTATTTTACAACATTTCGCAACCAAACTTTGTAATATTACTAATTCCAAGACACTCTTTCTAGCTCTGCTGATAGATTTCGTTGTTCTTACATAGATTAAAATTTAGTCTAAAGCGCAAGTCGTCCATTGGGCAATACTGCCGCAATAGCCTGTTGGGAAATCCGCTCACCAATGAGTGAAAAACTCTTCAAATTCAATAAACAATACCATTTTAAATAATATCTAATTCATGTCATACTTCTACCTTCTAGTAATACGTCGACTTCAGATTGTCGTTTTCAACAAACCGTTGCAACAATAGCAACACCGAACTTTCTTGATCACTTGCCCTCTGAACAAGAGTTACAAGCGCTCTGTAATCAATTAACTAACGGTACAGCTGCTGTACAGTCTAATCGCAGTCACTCAGTACCACCGCTACCTCAGAACCTTGTACCGCGCATGAATGCCACAATTCAACCGCTGACCCCACAGACAGATGGTCGTCACCAGTTCGTTGCACCACGCATGGCAAATGCCAGCGGTCTCATGATAAATACCAGCGGTCATTTTGACGGGCTCAAGCAGCTTAGAAACCGCGTCTTGCATGGAGATACAAACAATAACAGCGGCGCCCACAATGCCACCAACACAAACGGGTCAGCGGGTTACGCTGCAAAACGGAACCTAATGGTCGAACTTGATAATGTTTCAAATTGGGCGACGCCCACTTCATGCGCTTTTCAGCAAAACAAACCACATAATATTTTAGCCGACGACCCGTTAGCAGGTTTGAATTTGGACGAAATCGCAATAGATGCGTCAAACGGGAATTTTGACATACTTGTGGACGAGGCATTGTTTGGAGACAACAATACATTCGTGACATCATGGAATGCGCCCGCGCAAACTGTTACATTGGACAGCTGTTTGTGAAGTACTTGAAGTTACTTAGAGTAATGTATGTGGTCCCAAAGTGTACTGTGTTATTTAATCGTGAGAGTAAGCGTCAGTTGCGCGTTCGTGTAAGCGTATGGCACAACTTTTGCCTAAAACTGTCGCATTCAACCTGTTTACATCTTGAGTTACTCAAGTTGTAAGTAGGTTGCATGGAACAGTTTAGGCAAAAGTTGTGTAGTGTAAATATCGGCCTTAAATCACTCTGTGAAGTACACGACAGCCACGCAGGGCGTAGGAACCGGGGGGGGGGGGCAGAGGGGGCACGTGCATCCCCAAATTTTTTCAAAGGACCAAAAGTGCCCTTTTTTGTGATGAAAAGTGCCATTTTTGTACAAGCTAATGTCGCTGTAAATACTAAATTAACATCAAAGGTGCCCTTTTTGTTTGGAAATTTCCATGTTTTTAAAAAAAAATGGTCAAAAACGTGCAATTCGTGGTACGACGGGAACATTTTTCTCGGGGAAAAATTTTTTGGGTGCCTTTTTCAATATCCAAAAGTGCCCCTGGAAGCCGGTGCACCCTCAATCTTTTGATGCTTCCTACGCCCCTGCAGCCACGCAATCTGAAAGAGACAAAAAAAACACTTCTAGACATTTATTCTGACGAAGAATCTTTGCGCGAAACATCGGGGAGTGTCTTTATCTCTTTCAGATTAAATTGCTGTCGTGTACTTCAAGGAACGTTTGATATCATTTGCCGAGTTGCGCAGTTTCAAAATACAAAAGTATTGTAAAAAGACACGTTTACAATAGTAAAATCTCTGTGTATAAGCCCATTCGGTCGTGGCCCTTTCTTTGAATGGTATTAACTGCCGTCAATATGTATTTTTTTGTAAAATGTAAAACTAATTTATAGTACATGCGATGCATTTTTGAACAGCTTTTGTTTGAAGCCAACAGATTTTTTGTAAGACAAATTTAAGATGAAAGTGTTTCTTTATAATAAAGTTTTATCTATTTAAAGCATTTTAATCTGACTCATTTACAGATTCTGGTTAAGAGAACAACAGATACTGGTTGCATTAATTAACTAAAGTACATAATTATTTAAAGTGCATATTTTAATTAAACGCGGTTCAAGAAAAATTTAAATAGCCCGCAAAACCTGACAATAGCTGGGTGTGGGTGCTTTACATTGACGATTACATGAAGTTTTTTACTCAAATAAACATCGAAAAAAATTCAACATGGCGACCGCAGAGGACTTGAAAGACGGTAAAAATATATATTTTACATTTCAGTTCATTTAGCTTTCTTTTTATTATTGTCATAGTATAACGCTGTAATAGCTTTCTCGAGGTAGTAGTCTTTTGGCAAAAACCGTAGTTTACAAAATATATACTGTACATTTGTAGCATAATTAGGCCGGGCCGGTGTTGGCATACGCATAGATTATTATGTTTGACATTTGAATGTTGACAGTTTTAAAGGAGACGCTAGAAAGTCGTGGTGTACTTGGGCAATTAAAATCTAGAATTCGGGCTGAGGTTTTCAATGCCTTGGATGACCAGGCAAGTTTTTATTATATCTAGACACTAATCTAGTAGACTAGTATTGCTGGATTTCGCATTACACTTTGACAAGCAACCTATACAAGTCATGTGTGTAATCGTCAGTCCTGTGTAGGCAAAGCAAATATAAGTGGCGTGCACTGGGGAGGGGGGGGGGGGGGGGGGGGGGGGGGGGTGAGCTGGGGGCAACCATCCCCCAATAATTTCTGGAATGGTAAGCTATAAATTAAGCTGAATATTGCATGAAATTTTAGGCAAAAAAAGTTTAAAGAACTAAGATTTCCAGCTTACAAAAAATGGGGCATCCTATTCCCCCCTCCCATATTTTGTCAAGTGTCTGCCACTGGCAACTATAACGAAAAATGGTTTTAACCTTGTCTTTGGTGGCAAATATGTATATTCAACATTATCTGCTTCGTATATACAGGTGTCTTATATTTGATGTTGACTTCCATGTGTAGCACGCAAGGGTAGACAATGCGACCTGGAATCATATGCCTGGAATTCACCTATAATATCTAGTAGTAAATTGTAATGTATATAATTGCATGTAGTTCACAGTGAAACAAAATATCTGTCTTTACTATACAGAATGAAGACAAGCCAAGTCTTTCAAATGAAAACATGTTGATCAATGAATTAATCCGAGAGTACTTAGAGTTCAATAAATATAAATACACATTGTCGGTTCTAATGACAGGTAAGAATGGCTCAACCTTGTTCCCAGGCTCTTCCCTGTTAGCCTTGGAACGAGGTTTATAATGGCTATCGAGGTCACGATTCAAGAATGTTCTAAATAATGAGCCAATACAGTAAAGATGCGCATCATCTGTGCAAGGGACCATCTACATGACAAACAGAAACTAGAATGACGCATGATCTAGTGTCAAAATGCAGCATGCTGTAGTTTCTTGACCTCAGCTGTATCTTAAAACTAGCTACAACTACAAATGCCATGAAGGAGAAATGTTTATTGGAAATTTCTCTGCTCATTCTAATCTGCATTTATCATATTGATGCCAGAAATCTCTTTGGCAAGAACGTAAAGCGTACTGAAACTAAGCTCAGCTTGTTCACCAATTGACCATTTGCGTAATAGACTAAATTTTGATCTAAACAAGTCTAGACAAAAATTTCATCACAGCTTGAAAGAGCATCACAAAATTAGTAATATTCCGAAGTTTCGTTGCGAAATGTTGTAAAATGCGGATAATATAGCCTTTCAAATTTTGCAATTTTCAGTCATTTTAGATTACAAATGGGAAATTGACAGCCTCAAAGGGTTTGGGGGGGGG